ACACCAAAAAAAGAAACCCCCCCCCTTTCTTTTCATTAGGAGGGGGGGGGTTTCCCCGGGGGGGCCAGACCAACGGTTGAGAACCCCCCCCCCGGTCTTTCTTTATGAAGGGGGTTGCTCCCCGGGGGGGCAGGACCACCAGAAAAAAAACCCCCCCCCTCCCTTTCTTTCTGAAGAGAGGGGGTTCCCTGGGTGTCAGGGACACCCAGATGAGAAGCCTGTACTTCGCTTCCAGTAAGAAATTGGAACTTCGCTTGCATGTCAGGACACCAGATGAGAAGCCTACACATGGCTTTCAGTCTGAAGGTCTTGCTTCGCCTGGGTGTTAATACACCAGATGAGAAGCCTGCCCCTCGCTTCACATTGAAGGTGGAGCTTCACCTGGGTGTCAGTACACCAGATGAGAAGCCTGCCCCTAGCTTCACCTCTGAAGGTGGAGGATCGCCTGGGTGTCAGGACACCAGATGAGAAGCCTGCAGCTGGTTTTCAGTCTGAAGGTGGAGCTTTGCCTGGGTGTCAGGACACCAGATGAGAAGCCTACACCTGGCTTTCAGTCTGAAGGTGGAGTTTCACCTGTGTGACAAAACACAAGATGAGAAGCCTGCCCCAAGTTTCAAATCTGAATGGGGAGGTTCACCCGGGTGTCAGGACACCAGATGAGAAGCCTGCACCGGGCTGTCTGAAGGTGGATCTTTGCCTGGATTCAGGACACCAGATTAGAAGCCTGTACCTGGCTTTCAGTCTAAAGGTGGAGCTCACCTGGGTGTCAGGACACCTGATGAGAAACCTGCGCCTCGCTTCACCTCTGAAGGTGGAGGATTGCCTGGATGTCAGGACACCAGATGAGAAGCCTGCAAGTCGCTTTCAATCTGAAGTTGAGCTTCAACTGGGTGTCAGGACACCAGATGAGAAGCCTGCATCAGCCTTTCAGTCTAAAGGTGGAGTTTCGCATGGGTATCAGGACACCAGATGAGAAGCCTGCACCTGGCTTTCTGTCTGAAGGTGGAGATCACCTGGATGTCAGGACACCAGATGAGAAGCCTGCACCTGGCTTTCAGTCTGAAGGTGTAGCTTCACCTGTGTGACAGAACACAAGATGAGATGCCTGCCCCAAGCTTCAAATCTGAATGGGGAGGTTCACCCGGGTGTCAGGACACCAGATGAGAAGCCTGCCCCTTGTTTCACATCTGAAGGTGGAGCTTCCCCTGGGATTCAGGACACCAGATGAAAAGCCTGCACTTGGGTTTCAGTCTGAAGGTGGAGCTTCGTCTGGGTGTCAGGACACCAGATGAGAAGCCTGCACCTGGGTTTCAGTCTGAAGGTGGAGCTTCATCTGGGTATCAGGACACCAGATGAGAAGCCTGCCCCTTGTTTCATATCTGAAGGTGGAGCTTCGCCTGGGTGTCAGCACAGCAGATGAAAAGCCTGCACTTTGCTTTCAATCTGAAAGTGGAGCTTCGCTTTGGAGTCAGGACGCCAGATGAGAAGCCTTCACCTGGGTTTCAGTCTGAAGGTGGAGCTTCGCCAGGATTCAGGACACCAGATGAGAAGCCTGCCCAAGCTTCACATCTGAAGGTGGTGGATCTCCTGGGAGTCAGGACACCAGATGATAAGCCTGCACTTGGCTTTCAGTCTGAAAGTGGAGCTTCCCCTAGGTGTCAGGACCCCAGATGAGAAACCTGCACCTGGCTTCATGTCTCAAGTTCGAGCTTTTCCTGGGTATCAGGACACCAGATGAGAATCCTGCACCTGGCTTTCAGTATGAAGGTGGAGCTTCGCCTGAATATCAGGCCACCAGATGATAAGCCTGAACCTGGCTTTCTGTCTGAAGACGGAGCTTCGCGTGGGTGTCAGCATACCAGATGAGAAGCCTGCACCAGGCTTTCAGTCTGAAGGTGAAGCTTCACATGATTGTCAGAAGACCAGATGAGATGTCTGCCCCTAGCTTCACATTCTGTATGTGGAGGTTCGCCTGGGTGTCAGAACACCAGATTTGAAGTCTGCCCCTAGCTTCACATGTGAATGGGGCGGTTCACCCGGGTGTCAGGACACCAGATGAGTAGCCTGCCCCTCGTTTCACATCTGAAGGTGGAGCTTCGCTTGGGTGTCAGGACACCTGATGAGAAGCCTGCACCTGGCTTACAGTCTGGCAGTGGAGCTTCGCCTGGGAGTCAGGACACCAGATGAAAAGCCTGGACCTGGGTTTCAGTCTGAAGGTGGAGTTCCGTCTGGGTGTCAGGACACGCGATGAGAAGCCTGCAAGTCGCTTTCAATCTGAAGTGGGAGCTTCGCCTGGGTGTGAGGACACCAGATGAGAAGCCTGCACCTGGCTTTCTGTCTGAAAGTGGAGCTTCGCCTGGGTGTCAGGACACAAGATGAGAAGCCTGCACCTCGCTTTAAGTCTGAAGGTGGAGCTTCGCCTGGATGTCACGACACCAGATGAGAAGCCTGTAAGTCACTTTCAATCTGAGGTGAGAGCTTCGCCTGGGTGACATGACACCAGATGAGAAGCCTGCACCTCACTTTCAGTCTGAAGAGGGAGCTTCGCCTGGGTGTCAGGACACTAGATGAGAAGCCTGCACCTGGCTTTCAGTCAGAAGGTGGAGCCTCGACTCGGTGTCATTACACCAGATGAGAAGCCTGCATCAGGCTTTCAGTCTGAAGGTGGAGCTTCGCCTGGATGTCATGACACCAGATGAGAAGCCTGCACCTGGCTTTCAGTCTGAAGGCGGAGCTTCCCGTGGGCGTTAGGATACCAGATTTGAAGCCTGCACCTCGCTTTCAGTCTGAAGGTGGAGCTTCGCCTTGGTGTCAGCACACCGCATGGAAAGCATGCACCTGGATTTCAGTCTGAAGGTGGAATTTTGCATGGGTGTCAGGACACCAGATGAGAAGCCTGCACCTGGCTTTCAGTCTGAAGGTGGAGCTTCGCATGGGAGTCAGGACACCAGATGAAAAGCCTGCAGATGGGTTTCAGTCTGAAGGTGGAGCTTCACCTGGTTGTCAGGACACCAGATGAGAAGCCTGTACCTCGCTTTCAGTCTGAAGGTGGAGCTTCGCCTGGGAGTCAGGACACCGGATGAGAAGCCTGCACCTCACTTTCAGTTTGAAGGTGGAGATTCGCCTGGGTGTCAGGACACCACATGGGAAGCCTGCACCTGGATTTCAGTCTGAATGTGTAGTTTCACATGGGTGTCAGGACACCAGATGAGAAGCCTGCAAGTCGCTTTCAATCTGAAGTAGGGGCTTCAACAGGGTGTCAGGACACCAGATGAGAATCCTGCACCTGTCTTTCAGTCTGAAGGGGGAGCTTCACCTGTGTGTCTGGATACCAGATGAGAAGCCTGCACCTCACTTTGAGTCTGAAGGTGGAGCTTCGCCTGGGTGTCAGGACACCAGATGAGAAGTCTGCACCTGGCTTTCAGTCTGAAGGTGGAGCTTTGCCTGGGTGTCGACACCAGATGAGAAGCCTGCACCTGGCTTGAGAATGCCTTAGTCCGATTCCTAGCTCCAGCTCTGACTGCAGTTTCCTCCTCATGCCAGCCCTTGGAGACCCTGTGATGGCTCAAGTACACTGAGCTACTCGAAGTCAAATTTCAGCTGTCAGCACTTCTCCGTGCCTGGGCCCTGCCCAGACTATGTCATTTGTTGTCTCCTCTGAGGCTGCAGAGTGAGTCATGGCCCCTGGCCAGACCTTCCTGGGTGGGAGCCGCCATGATGGTTGACCAGCCATCTGTCCCTTTCCCTAGGCCCATCTCCAGATCAGCCCTGCTACACTGGCTTGGCTGAAGGCCCTGGGGCAGTTAGACAGGAAGTGCCAACATTATCTGCAGGTTATGGCCTACCTAGCCCCGTGTGCCTGTGCCCTGCCCCTCCCCCAACTCAGGCTCGCTGCAGCCCTGGAAGGTGTTCTATGACCTCACTATGCTGCCTATGACCTCATCGCTCCCTCTGCCTCCCCCACTCGCCACGTGGATGAATATTACCCACCTTCACACTGGCCTCAAATGCCACCTTTTCCAGCCACAAGTCCATTCGGAACCCACCTCCCTCACCTAGCCATGCAGCTGGCCTATTGCCGCCTTTCCCCTGCCCCCTCAGAGCACTCTGCCACCCCCATGGCACCTCCTGTCTTGTTCTTCTACTTCCACCACTGTGCATCCAATGCCTTTGCGATCCACGGGCCCAGTGAACATGGTTGAGTGCCCCATCTGATTTGTCAAAGAGACGAGGGGCAGGCAGAGTGTCCTAGCACTGGTCTGTCTGGGTAGCCTCACATCCTTGCCGGTTAGTTCCTCTGAAGAGCTAACCTCCATCCTTGTGATTATAAAGCCAATTCATTTTCTCTTAATTCTACCTTCTCACTCTCAAACCAAAATGGAATTCATCAAGTTGAAAAATCACTCAGTTCCATCTGGTCTACTTGCCCAGAGGGCAAAATGTAACAGCATTTGTATTTTTTCAAATCTCTCCTGGTCTAACCGCACTGGGCATTCAAAGCCCAAAACCCTACAGACCTGCTCTGAAAGTTATTCCCAAATCACCAAATCTTTGAGGTGTGCCTTACCCTCTCCAAGATGATAAAAGACACAAGGGAAGGGAAAAACGCAATTAACCAAGCAGGGGAGGAAGCAGACATAAGCAGGCCGAGGGTTAATGGCAGCAACTTAAAACAAGCCAGAGGCAGTCTCCACCAAATGAGACAAGCCTCAGGGACATGCACACCTGGGAGGCAGCAAGCCAGAGAAGGGGTCTTGGCACTGCCTCCCCTTCCACTTGTCCTATGGGGCAGCGCTACCCCATTGGAATGGTTAAGGTCAGACACCAGCACCTTCAGTATGTCCTGCATCTAGAGGCGGTGAAAAGGGGAAAACAAGGGCAGGGGAAGACACAGAGAATGGCTTAGAGAGAGGCGAGGATGTCGGGGAAGGAAGAGGTGGAGTGAGGAAACAGAAGCTGAGGAAGAGCAGAGATCCATACCGTGGTCCCCCAGGCCATCCTCTCAGACTGGCCATTGCTGCCTCAACTGACAGAGGGAAAAGTCCCCAGGCCCCAGAGTCACATGAAGCGCAGTCACTGACCAGCGCAGCTCTCAGACCCTCCCCCAGACACGACCCCCACTCTCCATGTTAAAACCAGACTTCTGCAGAAGGGTTCTTTTGAACAAGGGAGGCTACAGCTCAACAATTAGAAGACACTGTTCCAATCCAATAATATCTGACAGCCTGAAACAGAAGCCCAGGGGAGGCTGTGACTTTTCTGAGGTCATCCAGAGCCAAGGCCGAATCCCAGTGCCTGGGGCTTCCTAAGGGAACAGCCTGATGGCCGGGCTGCTCTCGCTGACCTGGCTTTTCCTGAGGCCAGGGATGAGGAAGTCGCAAATACCAGCGACTATGAATGTTACAAGACCCTGTATTCTGGATTAACATGAGAACAGCAAAAACTCTAAAACTTTGTAAGTAAAACATCAGCCCTATCTGTTTCACAGATGTGGAGAGAGAGGCCCAGAAAGCTTGAACAAATTGCCTTACATCATATCCCTAGCAGAGGGAAAGGGAGCATTCAGACCCAGAATCCTTGACCAGTATCTAACACTCCCTTCCACCATCTTCCACTGTCCTCTGGATCCCCAACCCCCCATCCTCCATTGCCCCTTAGCCCCCGAGCCCCCACCAGCCTGGCCAGCCAAGACTCACATCCTCAGTTGAGTGACAACCCCGAGAAGTGGTTGTCTCAGGGCTACTGCCGTTCTTAAGGTTTTTCTTCTTTTTTCCTCCTGCAGTACCACCAGGCCTGTTCTTCTGCTGATACTCTCTTAACTGTGGAAAGGAAAAGCAGTTGATTCTCTGGAATGCCCTAAGCCCCTGCGGTCACATCCTACTTCACAGTGTTCACAAGAACTCTCATGTCCACCACTGGCTTCATGCCACCGACAACCCTTCAAGGGGCTGGAACGATCAGTTAACGTCTGAAGAACTGACAGCATGGCTTCAATAAAAGGGAATGATGGAATTTAAAATCAGCTTCCAACTCTCACTTCTGGGGTTCTGCCAAGAATCAGCAGCTGCTGGGAGCAAAACCAGAGGTAGAGGTAGAAGGTTAACATTATGTGGTCAGGAATTGTACTTTGTGTGGTTTGGAAACAAGACATTGGGTCCTTTCTTCCATATCAGAACCTCGCAGAACTTTGAGGGGCACCCCGAGGAACCCTGGACACCGAGGAGAAAGTAGAACCCAGGCATTATTCCAGCCAAGGGCCCATTATGACTTCACGACAGGTTCCGACCCAAGCCCCAGGGCGGCCTCACCAAGCTGCTCCCTGCTCCTCTGTGGCAGTGCCCTCACCCAGCTTCAAAAACTCCCCTGGGGAGGGTTCAGGCTACAAAGTTTAGTCTCTCAAAGTCTGTTCCACAAACGGTCACACAGCTGTCACTCCAGAGAGCCTGAGTGTGGGGCACTCTGCTCCCAGGGTCAGGGAAATTGAATGTGAGCCTGAGAACTCGCACACCCCCCAAAGTAAGTCTCTGGAGAGTCGAAACCTGGGGGAAAACCAAACCTGTTTTCCCGCGGTCACCCAGAAACACTGCCCACACTTCCAGCTCCCCGGGAACGGGACACATCTCACTGTCAGTGTCCGAGCTGAGGAAGGGGGTCCCCAAGTCCCCAGTCCCCTTGCAGGCAGAAGCAGAAAGGGGGTGAGGACTTAGGGGACTGGGCCGGGAGATCAAAGCCCGAGCTGGAGGTAATGACAGTCCCCGGGGGATTTGGCCTCAGTGCATCCCACTCTGCGCTACCCACGCGCTGCGCAGGGGGAGGTGGGGCGCAGGGTAGGGACCCGAGTCCTTGGAGACTGAGCCCACAGACCCCAAGGAGGTTTGGCTTCGGGAGGCCAAAGGTGAGGTCTGAGGCTGGGCCGAGGAGCCCCAGGAGCCAATGGCCCAAAGTCACCCAGGGGTGACAAGCTGGGTGCTGAGGGGGTGGTGCTGGCTGAGAGGACTTGGATGGGGGAAGCCAAGGGGCGCTCGGGCTCGACCCGAGTGTCTGAGGAGCCGCACAGACCCCGGCCACGGACCTGTCGTCAGAGGGGCAGTGGGCTGGGCCGGGGGCGTGACCCAGACGTTTTACCTTTTTCTTGGCCGCAGCCAGCTTGCTCAGTCGGGTTTCCTCCGACATCGCGGGGTGGGGAGGGCGTGGGGCGGAGTGGGGCACATCACCACGATCCCGGCAACCACTGCGAATTGCTCCCGGCAGCTACCGCGCAGGTGTGTGACTGAGCCAGGAGACGCAGGTTCAGGGCAGAACTAGGCGGGGCTGGGTGGGCGTGGTCGCCACACTTCAAGCCCATTGGTCAGTGAGAAAGACGAAACAAAGAGGGGCGTGGTCCGAGGCGTCAAAATGGGAGCTGCGTGTGCAGCTCTGTCACCGCCCACTCTGGGGGCGGGGCGATTTCCCTTGGGTGCGCGCGCAGCTTTCTGGGAGCCCTCTCATGGCGTCCGTCACAGAATTCTAATCAGTCTGCGGACCCCAGAGGCCGCTCTCCGGCCTGCGCCCTGGACCCCTTTTCTCCACAGGCGCCCCCGAACCGGGGCCCTCGGACCCCAGGGCTCAGGAGGTGGGCGCGGAGCGCAGAGCAGGGGACACTGCATCAGTTCACGAGCCCTTTCTGACTCCTCCCAGATGTGCCCAGAAGTTCTCGTTTCAGAAATCCCCTCGGGGACCCCTTTCACGTCCTCCAGACACTGCCCCTCTCACACCCAGCCCTTCCTCGAGGGGCCTCACACTGACCCTGCCCAGCTGGATCCCGGCGGCTCCTACTCCCGCGCCCCCATGAGCCCCCTTTCCCCTCAGAGCAGCTCCGGGGCCTCAGCCTCTCCCACGCTTCCCTCCAGGGCTGAGCAGGACCCGGCCGCAGCTGCCGCGGGGCCTTCCGGTCACGGTGAGTAGCCCGCGCCCCCCGACCCTGTGCGTGTCTGTGCCCCCCGACCTGTGAGAATGTCTGTGCCCCTGACCCATGAGGATGTCTGCGCCCCTTAGTGTGCCTGCGCCCCCCGACCCGTGAGGATGTTTGCGCTCCCAAACCGTGAGCATGGCTACGGACCCAGACCCCGTGAGGATGCTAGCACCTCCCGACCCCGTCATGGTGGCTGCACCCCCCGACCCGTGAGGATGTCTGTGCCCCTGACCTGTGAGGATGCCTGGGCCCTGCGACCCATGCAGATGGTTGTGGACCCCATCCTGTGAGGGTGCCTGTGCCCCCCAACCCATGAGGATGTCTGTGCCCCCAAGCCGTGAGTGTGACTGCAGACCCCAACCCCATGAGGGTGGCTGCGGCAGACCCCAACCCTGTGAGGGTGCCAGCACCTCCCAACCCTGTGAAGGTGGCTGCACCCCCGACCTCTTGAGGGTGCCTGGGCCCCTCGACCCGTGAGAGTGCCTGTGCTCCCTGACGCCATTAGGGTGCCAGGGCCCTTCGAGCCTTGAGGGTGCCAGCACCGCCAACCCTGTGAGTGTGCCTGGGCCCTCCAACACTGTGAGAATGGCAGATACCAACCCCATGAGGGTGCCAGTGCCCCCGAACCCCGTGAAGGTGTCAGTGCCCCCTGACCCATGAGGGTGCCAGTGACCCCCAACCTGTGAGTGGGCCAGCACCCCCGGACTCTGTGTGGGTGGCAATGCCTTCCATCCCATGGGGAGGATGTCTATGTGCCCCCCACACAGTGGCATCATGGCTACCCCCAGCCCTCCCCCACCCCAACCACAGCCCACAGGTGGGTCTTCCTCAGTCTTCCTGGGCAGACAAAACTCTGGGAGGCTCCCGAGCTGTCTTTCAGAATCCCTCTCAGTGCCCCCTGAGGAGCGTCAGCCAAGGTAGGCACCTGCCACTCTGCCTGTCTCAGGACTGCATCTGCCCCACTGCACCAGCCCCACACTGGGGGGAACCCCTGGGACCTCAGGGCCAAGCCCCTCCCTCTCCCTACTGCAGCTCCAGACTCCCTCTTTCCTGTTTCTGTCCTTGGGCCAGCTGGCTCTCTCCTCTCCCTTCCCAGGCAGCCTCGGGACTCAGTGCAGCTGCCCAGGGCCTCCGTGGCTGAGCCTGGGGGTTCTCGGGACAGGATCCACACCACTGGCAGATGTGGGTGCCCTCTGAGCTGTCAGAGAGGTCAGAGAGCTTGTGGTTGATGGTGTAGGGGCTGGGAACTTGGGGGGTGTTGTTGTGGGACAGCCAGAGGACTTTGAACTTCCTCCTGGGCGTGTCACACCTGCCCCAATCGGAGCTGTGCTGCTGGGGGCAGGGGGTATCCTGCCCCCTGGCCTGGGAGCCCCAGCACAGGCCATGGTGAAAGGCCGGGGGTCACCTCGTCCCTTGAGTGTGCAGTTGAGCAGTGGCCAGGGTGAAGCCTTCGGTTGCTTGATGACCTCAAAGCCTGAGAATCCTCTGCACCCATCAGCCCAGGCAAGGCAGGGACCCGCAGCCTTCCTGCCTCCCACCTGGGCATTGTCACACCTGCTACTGGCTGAAGGTGGGGTCCTCAGCCCCAGACGAAGCCCCTTAGCCAGGGCAGGTCAGCTACTCTGAGTTCCGCCCGGCTGGGCCACAGAGTTGGCCCAGGGCCCCACCTGCCACTCTTCGCTGGCCTCTGACTCTCCCTCTTCTGCTTTTCCCCAGCAGGGAGGGCCCCGCCTTGCCTCCACGACCTGCAGCCCCCTGACCAGCCGAGGCTCCCCTCTTAGATTTTTGAGTTTGTGGCCACCTGCCCGCCCTGCCTCCTCAGGGTCCCGTCTGAGGACGCTGGGCTTTTTGAGCACCCGAGGGGCCTCCGGCGACCCCTCCAGCTGTCCATTTTAGCTGCCCACTCCTGGTTCAAGCAGGGTTCTTCCTCCTATCTTTCTCCATCAGGCCTGGTGGCTGCCATGTGGGCCTCCCGAGGCTAGTGCTGGCCCTGGCCAGTGGGTCCAAAGGCAGGGCCATCAGGGAGGAGGGAAGTCTGAGAGGGCCAGGCTTGTGTCAGGACTGTGGCTGTGCTGCCTGGGTGCTGTGTGAGAGGTGGCGTGAGTGGCAAGGGAGGCCATCTCCAGCCTCCACCCTGACTCCCTGGAAGCTCTGGTCACCCACTCCAGCTCCTCCTCCCATCTTCCTTCCCCTTCCTGTCCATGGCCTTTTCCAGAAAGCTCACCCACGTGCCCACCTGCTGCTGCTTCCCACCTCCGCCCTGCCCACCAGTGCTGTGGCCTGGCTACTCTTGCCTTACCACCTGTCTCCCTCCTCTCTCTCTGCTGTTCTCTCTCCTCTCTCTCCCACTGCCAGACGATTGGGTCAGGCAAGGCCGTCCCATCCTGAGAGACCCAGGCCCCCCTTTGACATCTAACCAGATCCTTCCTCTTCCTCGGAGACCTCCCTTTGCCAGTCTGTCCAGAGAGCTGCTCTGTGATTTGACAGTGGCCCTCAGCCCCAAAGCCTCCCCTTCTTCTGTGACTTTCTGTTGTGTGGTGATCTCACACCTCCAAGCATGACCTTGGTGAAAATGTGTGCCCCTCTGTGGTCCTGCTCCTTCCCTGTTCTATAAATATCTATAAATACTCATACACACACATGCACACACACACACACGGGTGTGCGCACACACACACACACGTGGCAGTG